TGAACTCTGATTGTGCCACTGCACTCTAGCCTGGGTGACAGAATAACAGAATAAGATCCTGTCTCTATCAAAAGAAACCCCAAACTTATATATATATATATGTGTGTGTGTGTGTGTGTGTGTGTGTATATATATATAAATAGCCAACACTTATGTGCCAGGTACCATTCTATGAGTGTTACGTGTATTATGCTGAATCGAGATTTTCAGTTTGATTAGTCAATATCCCAATAAACTAAGCACTATTAGAGGAAACAATTCCTACCACTATGGAATTTCTCTATCTAAAGCGTCACAGGGCCAGGGGCGGTGGCTCACACCTGTAATCCCAGCACTTTGGGAGGCCGAGGTGGGCAGATCACCGAGGTCAGTAGTTTGAGACCAGCCTGGCCAACATGGCAAAACTCCATCTCTACAAAAAATACACAAATCAGCTGAGCGTGGTCGTGAGCGCCTGTAATCCCAGCTACTTGGGAGGCTGAGGCAGGAGAATTGCTTGAACCCTGGAGGCAGAGATTGCAGTAAGCTGAGATCATGCCACTGCACCCCAGCCTGGGTGACAGAATGAGACTCTGTCAAAGAAAGAAAAGAAAGAAAAGAAAAGAAAAGAAAAGGAAGAAAGAAGGAAGGAAGGAAGGAAGGAAGGAGGGAAGGAAGGAAAGAAGGAAGGAGAAGAAAAGAAAGAGTGAGTCACAGATAGAACTTTGCAGTAATAAGTGGGGTATCAACCATCCATATGAAACACATCTAGGTAGTTCAATGGAAACAAAGGATTCCCACCTCTTAGAAACAAAGAACAGTTAAATATTAAAGTTGAAAGGTCCTGGATAGATAACCTAATCCAAGTATCATGCCAAAGATGAGAAAACTAGAACCTGGAGAAGTGATTTATCCAATATCAAAGAGCAAACCAAAAGAATAGCAAGGACAAGTTTAATACATTGCTTTTCCCTTTGCTATGTTGTTCCCTCATATAAATCTGAGTAGAGATCTTTATGATTATACCCATTCAGAAAAATAGGATTGGAATTGGAAGAATGTTCTTACCACCCAAATGTCATGGCAGAAAGAAATCAGAACATTCTGCTTTCATATATGATGGAGGAGATGGCCAGAGGGTTCTAGAAAGATTTCTAAATGTCTACTGAGCCCTACCTGTGACTATATGCCCCTACCTATACGAAGCCTTAAGTCTTCCCCTGACAGACCACTAGCTCTGGCTAAATGACTTGAAAACTATTTTGTTTTAAATATCAGAAAGGCAATACATACCCTATATTTGCTGAACTCCTTTGGAAATGCCAAAATAACATCTCCAATGAAAATAAAAGCAAGCCATGAAGTGCAAAGGATATGACAATGAAAAAGGTACCAGTCTCATGTATTTTGATACTTTAATATAAGATATCTGGGCTGCTATTTTGAATCATTCTATGATAGCATCAGTCAAAACATAACATAGAGTATCTCCAAAAAAATCTGCTAATATGAGAATAGACATTTCAATGTGAAGTGACTAGAGTCAGGAAAAACAAACTTCAAACTGTAAAAACACAGAGGAATAATTTAGTCATTCTCTCATATTATTCAGCTGTCTGATTATATCACCTGGCAATTTTTCTTTCTGATGTTCAGTGATGCTACATCCCTTTTCCTTAGCTACCTCTAATTAAATGCAATTCTTAAATAATATTTCATGCAAATTAAATCTGCTGGAGACTTAAAAACAAAAAAAAAGTGGTGATTCACCTAGCAGCATATCCCTTACCTACCTGTGGCTCTGTGTGAGTTGGAGAAGGGGACAGATGGCTCAGCAAGAGCTGCAAGGGTAGCCAGCACTGAGGTGGCAGAATTTGAAAACTGTACTGTTGAGGTATGGGGGTCACCTATTTCAGTAAGAAAGACAAATGAAGTCTAATGTATAGGAAAACTTGAGGCAAATTAAAAACAGCTTATTAAATCAAAACCTCAGCTCTTCACTCTAATGTCCTCCATCTTGTTCTCTAACTCAAACTGATATAAGTCAATTATATCAGTGTTAAAATTCTTTTAAGGTTTAAAAAGTTTTTCCTTTAAAGTGGATTAAATTAGTATACTTGCAGGGCTGGGCATGCTTCACGCCTGTAATCCTAGCACTTTGGGAGGCCGAGGCAGGTGGATCACGAGGTCAGGAGATCGAGACCATCCTGGCTAACACAGTGAAACTCCGTCTCTACTAAAAATACAAAAAATTAGCTGGGCGTGGTGGTGGGCGCCTGCAGTCC